AACAAAGATTAGATGGATCTGGCCAAGACCAGTTCGCCAGACAAAAAGGAGTGCCCTGGTGCTGGGGCTCTCCTACTATAGGCAGGACTGCGTAAATAGTAGTTAGGCAGAGCTGACCTCCCTGGCTTGGGTGGAAAGGCTGAGACTCCCAACAGTTTGCCTCAGTCTGAAGGATCCAGTGGAATCCCCATTAAACATAAAGAGTTTAATGACTGCCAAGCCAAACTTGTACTGCCTTCTAAATTTAAAAACTATCACACCACATGGTGTGATTTACTAACAATAGAAACCACAATGATGTATAGTTCCTGAATACTACAAAATAATATTCTAAGTAGACACAGCAGCTTCCACACAAGCTGCACTGCACACTTGACTGCACACCCTGGTCATATGATCCAGGCAGGTGTGTCTGGGTTTTCATTCCCACTATGTGAACAGCTGCCTTTTTTTTTCCTCTAGTACCGGGGATCAAACTCGGGACCTTGCGCTTGTGAGGCAAGCATTGTGCCACTGAGCTAAATCCCTGGCCCAACAGGTGCCATTCAGAGCATAGCAGGTATAGTGTTATACAAGACACACGAAATTCCTGCACTCACGGACTTTACAGCCTAAATAAAAAAATTACAGAGGGGCCAGGGATTTAGCTCAGTGGTGCCACGCCTGCCTCGCAAGTGGAAGGCCTTGAGCTTGATCCCTGGTACCAGGAAAAAAAAAAGCAAAAAATCCCCTACAGAGAGTCAGGGATTTAGCTCAGTGGTTCCACTGCCTGCCCGGAAGTGCAAGGACCCAAGTTCAATCCCCGGTAAAAATATAAATAAATAAACCCTAAGAACTAGCTGGACATGGTGGCACACACCTGTAATCCCAGCACCTAGGAGGCAGGAAGATTGCTGAGTTCAAGGCCTTCCTGAACTATAGTGAGACCCCATCTCAAAAAAAAATGTTACAGGATTACTTACATATTTATTTCCATGATCAGTTCCAATTGTAAGCTGTGGAAAACAGCTTGACAATTACTGACAGGGAAGAGGAAGTCAGGGGCTTCCCTGAGAAGTGAGCATGGAGTTTCACTTTGCTAATGGAGCTGAGAAAGGAGAGACAAGACAAAGCCAGAAAAAGCGAGTAGACAAGAGTGTTCTAGACAGAGAGACTGGCCAGGCACAGTAGCGCACACGTGTGGAAGGCTGAGGCAGAAGGACTGCAAATTCGAGGACAGTCTGGGCAAGTCAGCAAGATCCTGTACCAAATTTTAAAAAATACAAAGAGGTGGGGATGTAGCTCAGCAGTACAATGTTTGCCAAGTATGTGCAAGCCCTGTACTGAAAAAAAATCTCTTCCTAGATATGTGTGATTGGTTGTTTCTCTGAAGAACCATGAGGAAGACACAGCTTCATATGAAAACATCCTCTTCCTCTTCCTCAGGCCCTCTCCCCACAGGGCTTCCCGCTCTTCCCCTCCCTTCAGCAAAGCTGCCAGAAGGCCCTTTCCACAAAACCCAATCTAGTCAGGTCACCTGCTGCAAATACATCTGGGCTCCTTGTCATGAAGACCCAGGTCCTTCTCTTCACTCACTGCACCCCCACACTGTCCAGGGTCCTGGCACCCCCAGACCAGATGGGAGATGCATGTCAGGAAAAAGCTGACCCCCACTCCCAGCTCTCGGTCTGAGTCAAGTGGGGGGAGCTTCCCTGCTTTTAGGAGACAACACCAGAAGGCCACTGTCCATCCCCACCACCCCAGACACAGAGGAGGAGGTGCAGGAGCCCAACAAGCAAGCCCAGGCTGCCGCAGGTGCTGGGACAGAGGGGAAAGGTGGAAAGACCCAGGCCTCAAGAATCTCACTCAAGCCACCAGCCCTGGAGCCTGACACGTGGGCCCATACATCTTGTTTAAACTGCTTAGAATCTGGACTTTATTTTATTAAGCGAAGTATCTGGTAATCTTAGATATTCATGATAGCATTCATCACCAGGAATGTGTACCTGTGCATACCTTGCTTTTTTCCCCTTTCCTCTCCTCTTTGATCACTCTTCCCTTCTTTATCTACGAAAGCTGTTGCCATTCTTTCCTTCTATTCCTTTCCCTTGTCTCTTTCCTTTCCCCCTCCCCGCTTTGTTCCGCTTCTCATTTGAACTTCTTCCCATTTCCCAAGGTCTGTTATACATTTTGGTCCTTACTTCCACTTTCTGCTTCTCACACCAGAGCAACAATGCAGCATTTAAACATGTGTTGCACTTTGTTATCTCTGTCAAAGACATTATCTTATCTATTTCACCTGGAAAAGATCATTAGGCTCCTGTCTCTACCTGGTTTGTCAATAGCCACTTCTACTTTTCCCCCAACTCTACCTCTGGTTCCAGCCCAACTTGGTGAAATCTGTCGTCCCTCTACTTGTAAAACCCTTCCAACCTGCTTCCTAGGAAACTCCTACTCATTCCTCAGAATCTACTTCAGAGGTGACTTTATAGATTAAGTTCCTTGACAGCTCTGAAAACAATAAAAACTTTTCTCCTCTGCCCTGTAATCACAGCTACTCCAGGCTGCAGCATGACAGCCATGGTGGCGCACGCCTGTAATCCAGCACTCAGGAGGCTGAGGCAGACAGTTTGAGGCCAGCCTGGGCTACACAGTGAGTTCAAGGTTGGCCTGAACTACACAGAAAGACCCTGTCTCAAAACAAAGGCTGCAGCAGGACTCCAAGTTTGAATCCCAGCTGGGCAAGTTAGTGTGACTATCTCAAAATTAAAAAAAATAGAAAGTGCCCAGGGGCATATAGCTCAGGGTGAGGCCGAGTTCAATCTTCAGTACTGGGAAAAAAAACTTTCCTCCTCTTTTCAGGGTTTCAGTTTCCCTATGTATAACACAGAAAAGGAGGAAAACAAGAAAAAGGAGGAGAGGAAGAAGCGTCAAGATTATACCACCACCTCGCCCAGGGAGGTTTAATGATACGGGGCTGAAGCATTTACCAGCACCATCTGAACCTAAGGAATCCAGGCTGATATGAGTACATCACAGACCTCAATTGTTCTCATTCTGTCTCCTTCTCCAGTAAACACCTCTTTTCTGCCATTACCCTGTCCTGGCCTCTTGCAAAGGCCCCTAGTTTCCCTCAGGAACTTTTCCTGCACCAGATACAATCCCTGGGGACGACACATTCCCAGCTAAGGAATGGCACTGTGACCTCAGCCAGCCAGCTAGAGACTGAGACTGTTGCTTAGGCATTCAAAGCTAAAAGGAAAAGAGAGAAACAAAAAAACAGCAAGAAAAACAACTTCATTACTTTGTTCCCACTGCAGAACTCAGACAAGACTGTTGCTTGCTCTTTGATGCGTGCTTCTTGTCTTTTCCCTGATTTGGGTACCTGACTTTTCCATGGATTCTTTGGCTCTCATTCTCCACTAAACTTCAGTTAGGCAGAGCTTCCCCTGCCAGCTTGAAGAACTTCCAAGATGTACTTTTTAACCAAAAACTGAATTCTAGGAGGGCTCAACAAACTCTTAATTCCTGTCCCCACTCAAGTCAAGCAGAGAATGGCAGTTAACTATTACTAGGCAACAAGTGCCCCCAACCGCAAGTGGCTTTAAATACATTTACTATCGCACAGTTGATGTGTGACTGCAGTTCCAGAGCAACACAGCTGAGTTCTGGCTCTGGGCATTCCATGAAGGTTGCAGTCAAGAAGTTACACTCTAAACTAGGGATTTAATTCAATGGCACCACGCCTGCCTTGCAAGTGCAAAGTCCTGAGTTTGATCCCTGGTAGGGAGGGTGGTTTAAGGGCCCAGACTGGGTAATTTAGCAAGGCTTTGTCTCAAAATTTCAAAAAAGGCTGGGACGTGGCTCAGTGAAGACTGTAGGTTCAGCCCCCAGGACTGCAGCTGAGTGCCAGGCTGGAGCTGGAGCGTCTCCCAGCACTGCCCATGCAAAGGTGTCAAGAGGAGCCCTTCACTATGTTGTAAGAGTGGCTTCGTGACCTAGAAGCTGGAGTCACCCAAAAGCAAGCAAACAAAAGACGGAAGGCATGGCTGCCATGGTGATGCACACTTGAGATTCCAGCACTTGGGAGGACAAGGCAGGAGGATCACAAGTTCGAAGCCAACCTAGGCTATATAGGAGGTTCAAAACTAGATAAACTGTGTAGCATGACCCTGTCTCAGAAAAAAAAAAAAAAAAGATAGAGGCCATAATGGATTTTATGACACAGGCTTACAAGTTAAGCTCCATCTTTTTTTTTTTTTTTTTTTTTCTTCCTGAGGCAGGGTTTCATTATATAGTCCAGGCTGGCCTCAAACTCACAGCAATCCTCCTGCCATGGCCTCCCAAGTGCTGGGATTACAGGTATGCAATACCATTCTTGGATGTCATTCATTCATTCATTCATTCATTCATTTATTTTTTGAGACAGGGTCTCACTAGGTAGTTGAGACTGACCTGGAACTCACTATGTAGTCCAGGCTGGTTTTGAAATCACAGTGATCCTCCTGCTCAGCCTCCCGAGCGCTGGGATTATAGGCATGCGCCACCACATTTGGCTGATTTAATTTATTTTAAAAATTTTTTCTTCTGGTGTTGGGGATCAAACTTAGGGTCTTGCACTTGTGAGGCAAGCGTGCTGCCACTGAGCTAAATCCCTGGCCCAGTTGCCATTTCTTCAATAGCCTACTGGTTACACAAGTGGGCCCTAGTAAATGTGGGCAGGAACTGCAACAAGGCCAATTCCTAAGAGGTTAAGAAGGTGGACGGACACCACAGAGGCTGCCCAGAGGGGAAGACTAGCAACCCTGTGGGGGTTTTGCACCCTGTCACCACCCTCGATGCACTTTAGCTATTCCTAGTCACGTAGGACCCAAAGAAGACAGCATCAAAAATTACTACAAGAATAGCCGGGCGTGATGGTGCACGCCTGTAATCCCCGCACTCCGGAGGGTAAGGCAGGAGGATCGCTGTGAGTTTGAGAACAACTTGGGCTACATAGTGAGTTCCAGGTCAGTCTCAACTACATAGTGAGACCGTGTCTCAAAAAAACCAAAACCAAAACAACGAAAAAAAATCATTACAAGTAATGGTGGAATGCAAAACCGTTACAAGTATTACACTACGTGTTTACATTTGTAATAAAAAACCATTACAAGCAATGGTGGAGAAAGGGGAAGACATGAAGAAAAACACACAGAACAGGTAGGGGAGATCTCCAGTCCAGGGACCATGCTGGGAGAACTAGAAAAGAGAACACACAGCATTTAAGGAAGAGACAAAGAGCACAAAACACTGGTGCTTACCCCTGGCACATGAATAACTTCTCCTGCACAGTCCTCAGTGTCAGCCTGACATCCAGGTCGGTCCTGTTTTTGTTCACTGTTACTGGTGTAACCCTAAAGTGGGCCTAAGAACCAGGATCCGAGTCCAGGCTTGTTATGGGTAAACTGTGTCCCCCAAATTCGTATGTGGCTATGTGGCAGGCCTACCTTGTAGTCTTCAGAATGCGGACCGTATTTAGAAATAACCTTTAAAAAGGGTCAAGTTTAACATGCAGCTGTTAGGGTACACCCTAATCTAACCTGATGATGTCCGGAGAAGTGATCAGAACATAGAGACGAGGGAGGTGTCTGCATAGGAAGACCCTGGGAGGACACAGCTAGAAGACAACTTGTCTGCATGCCAAGATGAGAAACCAATCCGGCTGACCTGAATCTTGGGATTCCAGCTTCCATAACTGTGCAAAATAAAATCTGTAGTTCTGTGGAATTTTGCTGTGGTGGCCCTTGCAGATTAATACCTAAGCCTACCGCACTATTTTGGGATGTTGACTTTTCTGAACCAACGCCTAGTCTCTATTATGTAATGTGTTGTGGAAAAACCAGACACGAGGCCTCCTTTCCAGTCGAGGAGGAAAGCCGGTTTTGCGGTTTGTATCTACAGGTCCCCCTAAAATCCCACTCACTGCTAGGTGGAGCTTTTGGGCAGTGACTGATCACAAGTGTGTGACACTCACAGTGGATAGTCCACTGACGGGTTTACAGCTGAAGGTGACGTTGGGAGGTGCAGCCTGGTGGGGGACGGTCACTGGGGCCTGGCCTGGCAGGGCCTATCTCCCTCCTCCTCAATTGCCCTCTGCTTCCTGCCATCATGCACGATGCCCGAGCTCCTTCTCCTGCCTGATGCCTTGCCTTGCAGTGAGGCGACTCTGGATGGAACCTGCGCAAAGTGTGAGATACGATAAGCCCCTCCCACTTAGGGCTGTAGATGTCGATCACGGTGTCTCAAAACGAAGTGATGAAGAAAGCCAGGCCAGCTTCCTTGGCCAGTGAGGACGACATGTCTGCTGTGGAGCCACAAAGGCTGTTTGCACTCCGAGTCTCCGTTTCCACTCTCGGCTCCTTGATTTGTTCCCTTTCTGACAGGCCCCAGGCTGCCACCGTCTCTCCTCTTTCCTCTTCCTCCTCAGGCAGCTTCCAGGTCACAGGCACCGGGCCACCTCCACTGTGCTGCACACCTTCTCTCTAGCTGGCAAGCACCTTCTGGATTCGTTCCCGCACTTCCTTTGGTCCCAGGGACACCATCATTTCAGCTACAGGAGGTCCCTGCTAAGAACAGAAAGAGAAAATGTCACCTTTTTGGTTACACTGCCTAAGGTACTTATGCTCAGCCTCAGTCTGCAGTAGTTATCTCTTTTTTTTCTTTTTTGGTACCGGGGATTGAACTCGGGTCTTTGCGCTTGCAAGGCAGGCCACCGAACCTCTGAGCTAAATGCCCGGCCTGCAGTAGTTATCTCCAGGCCAGCCCCAATCTGCAGCCTGCATTCCAGGGAGCAGAGTTCACATTTTATTTTTTGAGACAGGGTCTTGCTATGTGGTCCAGGATGGCCTTGAACTCATATTGCCCAGGCTGGCTTTGAACTCAAATTCACAGCAAATTCAAATGCCCCTGCTTCAGCCTCCTGAGCTTGGGGATTCCAAGCATGGCCCCTATGTCCTGTTGAGAGTTTGAATTTTATTGGTCTTTAATTTCACCAGAGGATGGTCCAGGAACCTGTTTGCCCATATTAAGCACAGTGTTGACAGTCTGTCATCCTCAGTAACTCGGAAGCCCAGGAGGCAGGGACTGCATGCTCTGTTGGCTGTGTCCTCTGCACTCCCTGGGTGCTTGTACACAGTAAACACTTGGGAAATACTGTTCGCTGAGTGACTCAAATGCAGGGACCCATCATGTTTCAATCACCTTTGCATTCCCCAAAGTAAGCTTGGAACCTGCCAGTATGAGCTAGGTGAAGGATAAATGAGGGCCTCACCAGCTGCCCACTGAGGGCCATGCGGAGGAGTCGCATCACAGCGTTGTGCTTGGTGCCGTGCAGTGCTCCTGACAGCTTCCTCAGTTCTCCATTCAGCACATCTTGGCTTAAGCTTGTTTCAGATCTTTCTAAGAGCCTAGAAGAGGGGCAGCTCATAAGGAGCCTGCAAGGCCATTGGCAAGAGGGTGAGAGGGAAAACTTACAAGCTTATTGATCAACTACAATATAAGCCTGGTCTCAGGGTAGAGGGGAGATAGCTACCATTCAAGTTGGAAAAAGGAAAAACAAGGAAGGAACCACACACATAGCTAATCCAAAGAAGTGGGCCTAATGTAGGGAACTTAAGAGGCACCAAAATATGAAGGTTTACTAATTGCTACTTCTGGATCTTATAATCACTAAGTGTCAATTTTCTTACCTGGAAAGTAGGGATAATAACAGTATTGTACTACACATGGCTGTGCTGGAGAGTGAGAACTTATACAGTGCTAAGTACAGTACCTGAACACATGGTAAACTCAGATGTATCAGGTTTTGTATTTCAATTAAAAGCTTAAAAATAATTTATTACATGCAAGAGCTCAGAGACATTGCAGGAGGATCTGAAAAGAAATTTAGGAGGGCAAGGGATTTAGCTCAGTGCCACCATACCTGCCTTGAGAGTGCAAGGTCCTGAGAGCAGGGGAGGACTTAAAATGGTGTTAGAGGATAAAAGAATGGATAATTTCCGGGAAATTATCTGAAACACGGATTGAAGAATAGAAGACTGGTCAGAGGATGCTGGGTGTGATGGTGAATGCCTTCAATCTCAGCATCCAGGAGGAAGATCACCTTAAATTCAAGGCCAGCCTAGACTACTTAGCAAGACCCTATCTCATAAAACCAAAAAACAAGATTAGTCAGAGGAAACTTCTTTGGGGATATAGCACCAAAGAACAGAAAGAAAGAAGTCAGGAGGCCCTGGTTCCAGTAGCAGCCGCCCCACCAACTTGCTATAACCTTTCTTTTTTCACAAAGTAAAGCACTTAAGGATTTAAAACTCCAATAAGGTACCAACTACCCCTGTAGCTAAGATCCACTCCCCAAAACATGTTTGTGTTTCAAGAAAAATTCCCCATCCAGATAGGGCTGAACTTGGTAAACCACCCGAGTTAGAACAGGAGATGGGATTAGGGCGGGGTGAGTACACTGCACAGCAGCTTCCCAGTTCCCCTGACAAGCACAAGGTCCTGAGTTCAGTTCCTGGTACCGGTGGGGGGAGAGACCAACAACCAAACGTACATCTCTCAAGTAAAGCTTTTGAGAAGAGGAGTCCCATTCTCTTCTTCTCTAGCTGAACTGTGGCCCATTAAAGAGCCACTGTAGACCACACAAACAAGAATAAAACAGAGATGCAGGACCCATAAGACAAGGAGAAAAGCTGTTCATCCCAGACTGCCTCCTGCAGAAGACAAGTACTTGTTTCTTCTGTCTGGTAGAGAGAATCCTACCAAGTAACTGCTGAATATAGAGCCTCTGCAAAAAGAGCAGCCAGCACAGAGGAGGGGAAAGAAAGGCACAGACAGAGGGAGAGGAAGGAGGTCTTGCTAACAGCATTGAACTGGTCTTCACCTGGGCATAGCTAGCCTCTGTAATTGCATGAACAATCATTCTCCTGTTGCTAAAGGCAGCCTCACCTGCCTTTCCCACCACTGTAATCAAAAGAATTCTACTGTAATTATGGGAAGAACTAGTACGACCACTACTGTGTAGATAGATAAGGCAATGGGAGCTCAGAGATTTTACCTGGCCAAAGTGAAGTCACCTAGGCAAGAAGAAATGCCATGGTGAGTGGCAGAGCTGCGACACACTTCAGGTCCCAGTCTCCATCCAGGGAGAGCCAGGTCCTCGGGTTTGTCCTCCATACTGAAGGGAACACTTCTTCAGTGGCCCAGTGGCCATGGCATTGTGCTGGGAGCCCAAGAGCTAAGCAGCTGAGGAAGGGGCTGCAGGAGGGACCCGGAGAAGGCACTCACCCCAGCACGTGCTTGGCAATCACGTCCACCTTCTCTGAGATGGCGCTGAGCTGCGCTCGGCCCACAGTAGGGCGAGTCCACAGATAAGAATATGTCGGGGAGACCAAGTCCTGAAGGCGGCAGACATGGCCCTGCAGAAGGAGGCAGTCAGTGTGTGCACTGGGGACAGGGCTCCAAGCAACTGGAAAGGGAAGGGCTAATTTCCCGAGGCCCCATACCTGTCGCAGTAAGATGACCCTCTCCATGTACACGGGGTTTAGGACATCTCTGTCTTGCAGCTGGGGTCCAAAAGCCTCCTCCACCAGGGCCTGAAGCTTCCTCACCAGCTGCTGCCTCTGGGTCTCACTGCTCACCAGCCGACAGAGGTGCAGCCTGTGGGACAAACCAGGCAGTCACCCTGCTACTGGCTCCTTCGGCCTACTTAACCCTCTCCCCAAGGGAAGGCACAAACCACAGGAGTCATCTCCACCCCATGGTGGAGCAGAAGTTTCTTAACATTGATAAAAGGAAAGGGATCTGGCCCAGACTATCCAGACAGCCCGAGAGTCCAGGCAACCTGTAGACACATACTGTTTTCACTGTTTTTAAAACAGTAGCTGGGACAGGGATCCAGCTCAGTGGTTCTGCCACCTGCTTCACAAGCGCAAGGTCCTGAATTGGATCCCTGGTACCAAAAAAACCCCCAAAACAAAAACAAACAAAAAAACGGTAGCTGACTTTCCTTTTATAGTACTGGGGATTAATCTCAGGGGTGCCCTACCACTGAGCTTTGCACCCAACCCTTTATTTTTCAAAACAGAGTATCACTAAATTGCTCAGGCTGGGCTTGAACTTGCCATCCTCTTGCAACAATTTCCCTAGCAGCTAAGCTTACAAGCATGTGCTATGATGCCTGATTCTTTTACTTCTTTTAAAAAAATTTAATTATGCAGTACTGGGGATAGAATTCTTACCAATAAGCAATACCTAACCCAGCCCAGTAGCTAGTATTTTAAACTAGGAAAACATCACATGAAAGAGCGCTCCAGTTTCTCCAGGGAAAAGAGAAGATCTGTCTACAAAGGGCTCCCCTGCTCCACAGCTTTCAAAGATGAGAGCCGGGTGGAAGTCCAGTTCACCTCTCCTCCACTGTCCGGTCTCTTACCTGGCCTGCTGCTTCCTCTGTGATATCTGCCTGGCTGACACAGGTAGCTAAGTTTACAAAGCAGAATCTGGGGGTGTCTGTATCCCAGCCTTATTAAAATCAGGGGGCTTGGCACAAAAGGAGTAACAAATATGTATTCCCAAGATTTAGAGAAGCCTGTTTGAATTAAAGGCTCACAGTTTAAATTTGGGTTTTCTTGTCAGTGTAAATTTTCTCCCTTTCAGAATTTGCCTGTTTTGAGATAAGGTTCACTATGTAGGTCATGATGGCCTTAAACTCACAGTGATCCTCCCATCTCAGCATAGGCCACCACCACACCTGGCTCTTTTTTTTTTTTTTTTTTTTTTT